AGTACAGCGAGGATTTCGGCCCAACAATCTCTTTCACAATAAAAAAAAAAAAAACAAAAACCAAACAAAATATCGAAAAACGATTTTTGTTCATTCATCGAATGGTATGTCTGTGTACCTATCTCATTTGAATGTCGCTTCTTCTTTTCGTTCCATTCTCAAACAAACTAGTTAAAATAAAAATTCGCACTATCACAGATTTTTGCAATAGACGCTGTTTCCATGTTAGTCGTTTCTTTCAAATATGTCGAAAGAAAGAATATTTCTACTCAGTTTCTGGACGATTTTTATATTATATGAACATTTGACATTGACTATCTTGAATAATTTAGAAAGTAACATCTGATTGTCCAGAATAAATATAAAAAAATAAAATTGAGTCATGATTTCATTTAAATATGATCACATCCGTGTCGATTAGAGCATATAATTGTAATTATTAAAAAATTAATAATAATAATAATAATATATGATATATATATATATATAAGATCGTCTCATTCATTTATAAAAAATGCAATATTTTAGCAAATCGAACCGAATTGATGGGAGTTTTCAGTATTTGAATTGTTGATTTAATGATGAGTCGACAACTCAATTTCAGTATAACAAATAAGTGTGAATAAAGTTACACATTAGAGAGAACATCGATAAAAGTCGAGTTCGAGGTGAATACATTCGGAGCTTCTCTTGAGATTTGAGTGAATGATATTTTCAATAGATGTCTCTGCATGCAATACAATGCTTTGATGCAATAAATTCACTTTTCATACCAATAAGTTAGTTTCTTTCAAATGAATAAATCGGCTTTTCTTTACCAGATGGAGACTCAAGATCCGAAAATGTTTTGTTTTTCACCTTGTTTTAAAATAAAAAATTATTTATTAACCGAATTTCTCTATAATTCTTTAACCGAATTTTCTTCTAAAAGGTCAACCAAGGTCAAGCTCCAAAAAAAAACGTCAACCAATGATGAGGCTCTTCAATATAAAGAAATTGTTTTTAAAAAGTAGTATCAAACACCATAACGATGTTAATTTTTGATTGAATCAATTTAACGCCAACATTGAATAAATTAGCACCCTTTAAATTCGTTCATGCGCTATAAAAGTGGTGGCAAAATGTGGAAAGATCGTTTCATTGCGGCACATCAAATGATCCAAATCAGTTTTGCAGCAACGAGATTCGCCTTGCTAAAAGCACAACAATAAGAAGTATATAACAAAAGTCTTTATAGTGTGGTTGTGGTAAGTGCGAAAGAAGCAGAAAACTAGAGCATAAAATGTAAATAAAACGAAGGAAGCAATGATGATGAGAGAGTGGCTTTGGTTAATGTTTTGATGTGCATCATTGAGGGAACATTTAAGCGTGCCTATTGTTTGCAACGTTTTGCACAAAATGTAATGCAAGTACATTACATGGAACCCATAAAAAAGCCCCGTGCACTGCAACGTAATTAGAATATTGAAATGAAGGAAATAGCGACGACGAATGTACGTCAAATGAGAAGTAAATTTGCAGCATTATGAAGTGAGACGTTGATACATTTCTTCGAAGCAAATTTACACGAATGCAAAACAAAACAACAACAAAAAAATATATGAACAAACGAAGAAGCAACAGACAAAGAAGCAGTTGATATGGGTTGCTTTGAAAAATAAAATTGCTTTTGAACTTGTGGGTTTATTTGCACTTGTGTCGGCTCTCAGTCTAATAACTCTGAATAAAACGGTGCGCACATTCTCGGTATAAGGCCAAATGTGCATTTTTGCGATTCTTTTCTCAATGTTGTTAGAACCTGTAGTGTAGACGATGATTTTCGTAAGAAAAACGCCATGGAGCCTGAAAATGCATTCCGCTATTTTATTCTTCCCCCTCTCCATGCATAGGCCAGTACTACTTATTTAATAACATATAATTTATCAATTATGCGGTACCATCGTCATAATTATTAATAAATCTCTTACAACTTAGCGTATAAATTACAATAGAAACAGCGATAGTCACACGGATAGAGAGCAAAAGAGCAAGAGAGAAAGAGTAAACGCGAGTTAAGAATGCGAGAAGAGATGGTGTGAATGTGTTCGAATATGGATTTGCAATGAGCAATGTTGATATAGTTGATGTTCATCAAAGCGTGTACACGCATTACTGCTCATTGCCATTGTGAGTTAGTTAACGATAATTGTAATTTATGCAATTGTTTGCGGTGGAATTGCTACTGAAATGTGTGCGACGGCGCACATGCGTACCCGTTCACGAAAGCGCACCACACGAAGCGTTCAATGATCAATAATTGTTAGCGTCAACAAATGGCCAGTCATTACTGCAATGAAATTCAATGGTCATATCAACACATTTCCAAATCTACATGACTTGTTCAAACGGTCAAAATGATCGAATGTGCGCGATGCGATGTGTCATAAAAGACATTCGCCGAAGCCATAAAAGAAAACAACAACATCAAAAGTTAAAAAAAGAAGTCATCATAAATCAACGTTTTCATGAAACATTGTGGATTTCTCTTGACTTTTTGTCATTCATCAAATGGCAATGTTTTCCACTTTTCTTATTTATTAATTTTGAAAGGTATTGCCAAATGTTAAATTGATTTTTTTATTGTTTTGCGAACACAACACCGAATCCAAATGATTTTCGATTCGAATTGAAATGCTCGGCATTTTCCATTTGCGGTTAAATGGTAGAAGTTTTTGGGGCAAATCTATTCAATCATTCATAGTTGTCTCGTTGATGGTAAAATTGGCAAAATTAATATTAAATGCGATCGCTTATCGGCAATATTGGATTGATTGGGTGCGTTTTTATACCATATTATGTTAAATGCATGAATAAAGGTAACATATGGTTTTAAGTGTTGCTAACAAGTTGAAGAAAAGCAATTTTCCCAATAAGTCGGAGATAGAGGGAGACGAAGGGAGGGAAAATGAAAGATACATAGGCATACATTAAAATTTGGTTGGTGGTGAGGAGGAAAAAACCACATCGTTATGCTTTCAAAGTAGCATTTAAATAAAGGGCAATATATACATACACAAGATGCTTTGTGCTAAAGTGAATCCACCTATTCTATGCACATGAACACAACAATTTTTTTTCCTTCTTTTTTCAAACAAACATAAAAAAAAAACTGTAATAAATTATGTCATGTCATAACTTTTTCTTACAAAAATACATCAAGTGTTTTGGGTTTGGCCTTTGAATATGCAAAGCGGTGTTTGTTGGTGTTGATGATGAATGAAGTTCCTATGGCAAATCGATGCGGCAATATACATATATTGAAAACTAAGTGTGCAAAATGTTTATGGCAAGCAAGAATTGCGTGTTATATTATATATATGACCGTCATTCGGCGAGAAGCAGTTTTACAATATTGCCAATGTGTGTGTGAGTGTGATCGAATGGAAATTTTCGCTCGGAAAAATTCGCATAGGGAAAATATTGAGATTCTATTTGAAATATCGTCGTCGTCATCATATTGCCGTAATTTTCTTTTCAATTTCTTCGTCTCATTCCAACATTTGGAGCCATTTTCCTTCAATTTCCGCCTATCCGGACCGTTTTGTTACACAGCGCATTCGCCATGAAAAAAACTCCATCTCATTCACCCACACTCAACGGACGTTCCAAATTGAAGCGTGTGAAAAAAAAAACACACACAACAACAACGCAGATAGTAATATTTATCAAAATCACTTGGCCCGTATATCATCATCTTTTGGCATAATAAATATTATGTGATGAAAGAATAGCGCGCAAACTGATATATGGCACATACATCACAACATGTGTCTGTAGTAATTCACATCGGGAGAAAGTGAGAGAGAAAGAGAAATGTGCAAACGACCAGCCCCAAAGAACCTAATAATTTTATTGTATATTTGTATGCGTGTCTATATGTTAGCACTCATTTTGAATAGCATAGTACCTCTGAAATTTTTTTCGGCATTCGTGTGTGTTTGGCTTGCTCGTTCAATTTGTTTTTCGGTCTCATCATCATCTTCTACTTCTTCTTCTTTTTGTTAGAACACAATGGTAATTACAATAGCGAAAACTCTCTATATATTTTTTTCTTGCTGCTCTTCCTGAGGTTTATGATATGGAAACATATGGTCTTCTATACTGACTTCTTATAAAAAACAATATCGGGTTTTGGAGTTTGGTTCGTTCGCAATTTTCGAGCTTCACTAGAATTTGGTGTTTTTTCTTTCTTCTTTTATACAATAAAATTGTCTATTTGCAGATTTAAGCCAGCGAAAACATAACTCGTTTTTAACATGCATATTGCATTCGACCAAAAGAGAACATACCAAACATATACTTATTTTTTTTCTATCTCCTTTTTAGATGGTAGATTAAAATGCAATTTGACTTCTCTTATAAAGAAGTCTTTCAATATCAAAATTATGCTGCCATTACAACTGCTCTGAAATATTCGATTGCCAATTACACATATAGTTTTTTAAAGAATAATCTAATTTATCTTTCA